TGACCGTGTACGACGCCCTGTTTGCAGATGGCGGCGTGGCGCTGCCCGGCGACGGCGAGTGCGTGGCGGCCGTCCGGACGCAGATGGCGCGCGGCCAGCAGATGATCGTCAAGTGGGCGCCCCGCTCCACGTCGGGCAACATCGGCGTGGCGTTCTGCGTGGACCAGTCGCAGGGCGACTGCTACGTCCTGGACCTGTTCGCCTACCGCAACAGGCAGCTGGGCTTCTCGTGGCGCCACCACAGCGCCCTGGAGGCGGGCCCCGGCGCGTGGGTGCCGGGCCGCGACGACCTGCTGCCGGAGAGGCACATCAAGACGGGTGGCGAGGTGAGTCGAGGTCCGAACGGGCAAGGGCATTGCCTTGCCTTTATCGGGAGGCTTCTCAGGGTTGTCCCGGGGGCCGGCCCTCCTGCCCCCGCTCCCGCGTCCCCTTAAAACCCATACGCCTGGGGGATCACTGCGACCCACATCACATCAGGGCCTGGTTCGGGGATCGGGGGGGATGGCATCCCGTTTCACGTCGCCGAACTGGAAACAAACACAGCACTCCTTGTCCTGCTTGTCAGTGTGATGGATGTCGGTGCCGCTGGTCCCGGCCCCCAGGTGCCGAGAGTGTGTGCGTTCAGAATAAAAAGGAATTTGTTTCGGCGGCGACGATGACGTCACTGCCGGCACCAGTCGAGAAAATAGTAGTCATAGTAGTGTTCCGGCGCAGTGTCGAGACGCTCATTGTCGAAGCAACTCCACTTGCAGTTGTACAGAGGATTAATGCGCCGATGATGGTCATCAATAAGTTGCCATAACGAACACGTGCAAAACTTATTACATCTGTATGTTTTGCTACTGCGTAGAGTACTCAGGTGCAAAATCCACACTCAACAGTCATCAAACAAACACAACCTTAACAGACAACCACTGAAAATCACCCCATAAAATTTTAAGGGCGTCGTTTCTCCCTTTGCAGAAGGAGCCCGGCTGGCACGGTGACTCCAACAACTACCTCATGATGGTGTCCCTCACCACCGACGGCAAGGTGGCGCTGCGCGCCGACGGTCTGGACCCCGTCCACATCAGGCAGCTCGTCTTCCCGCTCCCGGAGGCCTACACCACCGTGGCCGTCGCCTCGGCGCAGCGCACCGGGGAGTACACCATCATGGCCGGTGAGTAGGGCGTCCAGGACACGACTTGGGGGGGG